TTTAGTTGGAATCTTATCACGCTTGTTAGGTGGATCCACAGCTCACTGGCTTCTATGGGACAAGACTTCCACATATGCGGCTTTCATGTGGTCTCGCCTGACGCCCAGATGTGAGCAGCAGCCCCGTGTCTTAGGCAGGCAAGATGCTGACTGCGCACAGGTGTTGTGATTGGGAGCTGGCTGAAGTAGGGCCATGTGTTACGCATCATATTGCCAAAGGCCCAAAGGACAGAGAATGTGGTCTCCTTCTCCTAAGGAGTCCAAATTTATTCTTTGGCTGGTTTGAATCATTTCAGCCTATCAAGGACAAGGACAAGGTCCTGAGTTCAAATTCTACTTCCACTAAAAAAAAAGTACCTATTTTTTTTGTGTGTATAGGTCCAGAGCCTGGACACTGTCCCTGAGCTTCTTTTGCTCAAGGCTAGTGCTCTACCATTTGACCCGCAGCTCCATTTTTGGCTTTTTCTAAGTAGTTTATTGGAGATAAGGGTGTCACAGACTTTCCTGACTGAGCTAGCTTTGAACTGTGATCCTAGGATCTCAGCCTCTTGAGTAGCTAGGATTACAGGTGTGAGCCGACCTGGCAAAAGTTTTTTGAGAAAAGTAGTTTTTGTGTGTATGTTGCTGGGGATTGAATCCAGAGCCTCGTGACTATTGAACACATGTGTTCTAGCACTGAGCTACATCCCAGTCCCCAAACTGATCTTTTAAAAAGGCCAATATTAACATGGATCAATGATACAAAGTGAAAAGTGAAAAGTGCCCCTCGTAATCCTAGGCCCTGCCTATTTCCTTTCCCTCCCCACCAGCCCTATTCATGGCGGGTTTCTTGTGTATCTAGGCAGATATTTTATTTTTTGGGTCCGGTCGTGGTACCTGAACTCTGGGCCTGGGCACTGTCCCTCAGCTCTTCAGCTCAAGGCTAGCGTTCTGCCACTTGAGCCACAGTGCCACTTCCAGCTTTTTTCTTTTTGCTTATGTGGTGCTGAGGAATCGAACCCAGGGCCTCATGCATGCAAGGCAAGCTCTACCACTGAGCCACCTTCCCAGCCCCTACGCAGATATTTTAGCATGTAAAAGCAAAACCTAACCTTCTTTCAGCTTTTTAAAAATAGAATGGCATGTGGCACTGCTGTTCTACACACTGCTTTCTTCACAGATTGTATTTAGAAATAACACTTGGAGGATATATTTAAATAAAACAAAATTACATGTTCATTTAAGTTTTGACCCAGCAATCCCACTTCTTTGAAACTATTCAAAAAGACATAGTGGCAAAATTACAAACTGTGGCAAGACTATTCATAGAACACTTCAAAAAGCAAGAATGAAATCAGTGAGGTAGTAGACGCCTCTAATCCCAGCACTGTCTGAGCATCTTTAAAACTGGGAGCAAAACAAAATGAACTGTGTGTGTAGACTGGAGCAGTATCCTGAAGGGACTTCTTCAGGGCCTTCACCTTCAGCAGCATGTGCACTCGGTGCCTCTCATTCTTGGGGCAGGTGCATGAGGCGGCAGCAGGGAGGGATGCAGTGCTGCACAGGACATTAGCAGCACCGCAGGCTGAGAGGCCATCACCGGCAACTCTTGGCATGAACTATGTCGCCCTCAGGGCGGAGAGATGAACGCTGGGCAGCATTTTCAACAGTTTTAGGATTATTCAGGAGTAGGAAGGTACAGATGAGGAAATGGCGGTATCAACAGAACTCACGCAGGGGAGGGACATGCCAGGCCCTGGGGTCAGCTGAGATACGGGGCAGCAGGAGCGAGGGGACTGAGTGGCTTCTGGGGAAGAGAGAATGAGGCAGAGAAAGCAGGTGCTGGATCATTTCAGCAGGTTGTGGGGCCCGTGCGTGAGTTTAGTTAGCTTCTGACTCAGTAACAAACTGAGACAAGGCAGTTGGGAGGGGCCACTCCAGCTCCCTGAGAGTGGCGCTGTCCCTCCCTCCAGGGCTAGGTGGACAGGAGGAGTCCCACAAAGGACAGGGTTGGGGCCCAGGAGCAGTTGTGGTTTACATATCACAACCTGCAAAACAGAGGCTCCAGGAAGCAGAGGTGAGCTATTCCGTCTGCCCTGGAGAGCAGTCTCTCAGCGGCAGCGGGTCACAGACTCCCCATCACCCAAGCATTGCAAACGCAAGCTACCCAGGGACACGACCAGAAGCCTGGCCTTGCTTCCTCTTGGACTTCACTGTGCCTTTTCTACTGGCTGACTAATCTGTATGTAGTATGCAGTAACTTTTCTTAGTTCTGCGAATCCTGAGGGTCTTGGAGACTCCTGACAAAACTGCTAAGCCAGTGGGAAGGTGGCGCGGCAGCGCAGGCTGCTCACCCCACTCACGGAAAGTGAGACGGAGCCCATCAGACATCACGCTCCTCTTGAAAAGCTTCAACACAATACACAGACTCACCTATGAAGTGTTCAGGCCCAATCAACTGAACCCCAGTTTTATCAAGCTTCTTTATTACTTGCAAACTGATAGAAATTCTGGGGTGCAGAGAATATGCGAAAGCAACACGGGAGGAAATGGCAAGTCATGACAAATAGCCTGTATTTATAAAGGAGGGAGAATGGTTATAAAAGTGACACACAGGAATATCAACAGCTTCGCGGTGTGGACCTGGCTGGAATCCTACCCTGAAGTATCAGGGTGGACAGCGTGAGGGTGAGTGGTGTGCCCACACTGTTCCTTGTGTGCACACGGTGCTCTCTGGTGAGGGGTTACCCTTGCCAGACAGCAGGGCCTCGGAGGCGGGCCTGTCTTAGGCATCTGGCCACCATCATCCACATTGGACATTTGTGAAGTCTGAGGGGTGGATTCATGAGAGTCTTTTGTGCCATTCTATACTGGGACCTATAAAAAAATTCTGCCAAGCCAGGCAATGGTGGCTCATGCCCATAATCCTAGCTACTCAGGAGGCTGAGATCTGAGGATCACGGTTCAAAGCCAGCCTGGGCAGGAAAGGCTGTGAGACTCTCATCTCCAAGAGTTCAAGTCCTACAACCAAAAAAAAAGAAAAAGAAAAAAAAGAAAATTCTGCCAAGCTCAGAAAGTGACCTTGTTTGGATGTAAGGTCTTTACAGATGTAGTTAGTTGAGCTAAGATCACAATGGATTAAGTTTAGGCCCTAGACCCAATGACTAGAGAGTCCTTAGAAGAAGGCAAGTAAGCCGCGCGTCAGTGGCTCATACCTGTAATCCTAGCTACTCAGGAGGCCTTGAGATCTGGAGGATCGCGGTTCAAAGCCAGCCCAGGCAGGAAACTCCATGAGACTCTTATCTCCAGTAAACCACCAGAGAACCAGAAGTGGTGCTGTGGCTCAAGTGGTAGAGCGCGTGCCTTGAGCTGAAGAGCTGAGGGACAGCGCCCAGACCCAGAGTTCAAGCCCCACGACCAAAAAAAAAAAAAAAAAGTCCACATTAAGACACACAAAGGGAAGAAGGCTGTGAAGGCAGCGGCAGAGGTGAAGTGATACAGCTTCAAGCTAAGGACTGCCAAGAACTTTTTTGCCAAACAGAGAGCAAGGGAAGGAAGGTGACTGTCAAGTGTACCCTTTACCTGACTTACGTCACTGTAGCCCTTCTGTACACGACCTTTATAACCCTTTACAAAGTTTAAAAGCAATTTTTTTTTTTTTTTGCCTAGGTTAGCTTGGAATTGTGATCTTCTAGGTCTCAGCCCCTCGTAGCTAGGATTACAGGTGTGAAGTACTGATGCCTGGCCCCCACTGACGATTTTGGACTTCTAGCATCTAGCCCTGAGACAGAATAGTTTCTGTTTTTTTTTTTTTTTGGGTCCGGTCGTGGGGCCTGAACTCTGGGCCTGGGCGCTGTCCCTCAGCTCTTCAGCTCAAGGTTAGCGTTCTACCACTTGAGCCACAACGCCACTTCCGGCTTTTTTTTTCTTTTTGCTTATGTGGTGCTAAGGAATCGAATCTAGGGCCTCAGGCATGCAAGGCAAGCGCTCTACCACTGAGCCATCTTCCCAGCCCTAATTTCTGTTGTTTTAAGCTACACAGTTGTGGTTCTTTGTTAAAATAGCCCTAGGAAATGGATACAGGCACAAGGGTTCTTCTGGGGATGATAAAAATGTTCTAAAATCAATAGATGCACAACTCTGTGGATATTCTAAAACCACTAAACAGTATATGGTATAAGAATTATAACTCAATAAAGCTGTGATTAAAAAGTACTTAAAGCTATATACAAATGACCTTGAATAACTCCGATGTGGAAAGCTCCCATTTCAGTCCATTATTCAGAGTGTGAAGGGGCTGAGAGCTCAGTATTAGATGTCAGTTAAATGAGACTGGTCGCCAGGTCTGTTGCTAACTGGCTGTAGGAACTGTGATCCTGTGTACAGAACTCAGCTGAGAGCCAGACAACCAACTGGAACAGGCATAAAACAACTGGAACTGGAGATCCAGATGGGCACTGACTTCAGGGGAACAATGTTAGTAGAGCTATGGTTCTAAACTATTTCCTTCTTTGTGACCTTCATTCTCAGCAGGTCTGTATATGGTAGGAACAGCCATTGGCAATCTCAAGGTTACATGGCCTACATACTTTTCTGTGGCCTACACTTATCTCGGGTTGTAAGGGAACCTTGGGTTGGGTGTGGTAGTACTTGCCTGTAATCCCAGCATTCAGGAGGCTGAGGGAGGAAGACCAAGAGGTCCCAGACTAAACTGGGCTACAATCCCGAGACTGTTTCACAAGACAAAATGAACAAAGAGAATCTAGATAGCTGTCCAGAACAGGGTTGCCCAAGGCTGAATTATGAGCCAAGAATAAAGATAACTTCAGTCAAGTCTGACTGCTGAAAACTGGGAAAGAGATGACTGCCCAGGGGAAGATGGTCTGGGAATATGAAACACGTGTTCTCCTATCAGATGGAATTGTAAAGCATACAGAGCCTCAAACATCATTTCAGCCAATAAATACTTGCTGAATCAATGTAGGAACACATAAAAACAGAAACGCTGCAGAGCACTCAAGTATCATATTCCAAATTCTATATTTTAGAGAAGCAATAAAACATAATCGAAGTCAAATACCAAGCAATAGTAAAATGTGCCTAGCCTAATGTTTTCTTGATTTAGTCAACAGAAAGGCTTATGGTTGTCCAGAATGAAGCTCCTGCTACCAGCAAGCCTGCAGACTTTTTTTTGGTGATGCTGGGGTTTGAACTCAGGGCCTTGCATTTGCTAGGAAGGAGCTCTACCACATGGATGTGTTCGCAGCATTTTTTTGTGTCTCACGATTAAGCTGGCCTGGACTCCTCTATATCCTGGGATGAAGTGCGCACTACCATATAGCTTTTATTGGTTGAGATGGTGTCTCAGAACCTTATTACTCAGGCTGACCTTGAACTGCTTCTGATCTTCTTGATCTCCACCTCCTGAATGGCTAGGATTACAGGTATAAATCGGCTGGAAAACTTTTCCTATTCATTTGAATTGGTGATAGTCTGGTGGATTTTTGATCCAGAATCCAAATGCCTGCTTTCGGAGTGTGCTCCAGGCTTCCTGGTAAGTGGATGCAGCCTCTTTATACTCCTGGTAGGTGTCCAGCTTCTGCCCCCTAATGCACACATACCACCAAGCACAAGTTCTCAGGGAGATGCTCACCCCTTGGGCCCGTGAAACCCCTAAGAAGCACCTAGGCAGATTACAATGGGAGACCAAGAACAGAAAGTGCTAATGTACTTTCCCAGAGTGCCACTGTCTCCTTTGCAAGGCATCGTGTGAAAGTTGCAGAAGTTAAATAAGGTCAGAACGAACAGAATACTACTGTGTGTGGTTCTGGTAGAAACAGAAAATAAGAATAACTATACTTTTGATTTCAAGTTTTCTAAGGGTAATTTCCACCAAAGGATTAACCTTCTTGGCATTTTTTTCTTACAAAGAACTTTCCACCATGTTTGCATTTCTCCTCTTCCTACTGCAGGGAACATGTCTCCAAACCCATTCAGCCTTGGGGAAGAATGCTAACCCTGTTCTTCTGATAGGCTTTTTTTTTTTTTTTGGGGGGGGGGGATCTGGTTTTGGGGCCTGAACTCTGGGCCTGGGTGCTGTCCCTCAGCTCTTCAGCTCAAGGCTAGTGCTCTACCACTTGAGCCACAGTGCCACTTGTGGCTTTTTTTTTTCTTCTGCTTATGTGGTGCTGAGGAATCGAACCCAGGGCCTCACGCATGCAAGGTAAGTGCTCTACCACTGAGCCACCTTCCCAGCCCCTGATGGACTCTTTTGACCAAACTTGAGTCAGGGTCCTGACTTCTGTTTCACCTGGTCTTAACCCTGGGCTATCCTTGACTCTAAATCCAGCTCCAGCAAGAATTCTGCTGAGTCAGTTTAGGAAGAAAAAAAAAATCCTCTACCCTAGCTTTAGATCATCCCAGATACCAAATCAAATTCTTCCCCATAGGTCACTGCCCCACCAACCTTCAGCAAGGATCGTGTTTATGTCCAGCAGGAATCCTCCATCCCCCCAAGGTTAGCCCTGATGCTGCAGCAAGCAGGACCATTTTCTCCACCCACTGCCTGATTGTGGGCTGCCAAGGTCCCTGTGTCTGTGGATCTGGGTGGAGTCCCGCCCCTCTTTCCCTGCCACCTCCCACCTTCCCAAAGAAATCTTTCTTGCTGTCCATAGTAAGTGTCTGAATCATTAAAAAGAAAAGAAAAAGCTGGGCGCTGGTGGCTCACGCCTGTAATCCTAGCTACTCAGGAGGCTGAAATCTTTTCTTTTTTTTTTTTTTTTTTTTTTTTGGGTCCGGTCGTGGGGCCTGAACTCTGGGCCTGGGTGCTGTCCCTCAGCTCTTCAGCTCAAGGCTAGCGCTCTACCACTTGAGCCACAGCGCCACTTCTGGCTTTTTTCTTTTTGCTTATGTGGTGCTGAGGAATCGAACCCAGGGCCTCAGGCATGCAAGGCAAGCACTCTACCACTGAGCCACCTTCCCAGCCCATCAGGAGGCTGAGATCTGAGGATCGCGGTTCAAAGCCAGCCCGGGCAGGAGAGACCGTGAGACTCCTATCTCCAATAAACCACCACAAAACCGGAAGTGGCGCAGTAGCTCAAGTGGTAGAGCGCTTGCCTTGAGCTGAAGAGCTGAGGGACAGCGCCCAGGCCCAGAGTTCAAGCCCCACGACCGACCAAAAAAAAAAGCAAAGAAAAAGGGCTGGGAAGGTGGCTCAGTGGTAGAGCGCTTGCCTTTGCATGCCAGAGGCCCTGGGTTCGATTCCTCAGCACCACATAAGCAAAAAGAAAAAAGCCGGAAGTGGCGATATGGCTTAAGTGATAGAGCGCTAGCCTTGAGCTGAAGAGCTGAGGGACAGCGCCCAGGCCCAGAGTTCAAACCCCACAACCGGACCCCAAAAAAAACAAAACAAAAAAGAAAAGAAAAAGAAAAACATTTCAGGGACCCGCAAACCACAGCAAAAAAACAGATCTTTAAAATCAATAGTATAGTTACTGATTATCAAAACCTGACCATAAAACAGGCTTGGGCCTACTGCTTAATACATAGTGTTTTCTATATTCATTCTCTGATTTATGAAATGATAAAATGGTAACACCTTTGTATAACATCTTTTTTTTTTTCCCCCATTGTGGGGCTTGACCTCTGGGCCTGGTTGCTGTCCCTGAGCTCTTCAGCTGAAGGCTAGCGCTCTACCACTTGAGCCACAGCACCACTTCCAGCTTTTTCTGCTTATGTGGTGCTGACGAATCAAACCCAGGCCTCATGCATGTGAGGCAAGCACTCTGCCACTGAGCCACCTTCCCAGCCCCAATATCTTAATAATAACAATAAAACTACATTTAAAAACAGAAAGACTATGTAGCACTTCCCTTGCTCTTCCCTGCTCTTTGCATTGAAACTCATGTTTTATTAACTCATTTTATCTTGTACTCTCTGTGCTTTGCCAAGATCTGTGGAGACCTAAGTTGTTTTTCAGCTCACCACAGCACCGAGAAAAATAGCTTTTTTCAGCAAACATTGATTTTAGTATAAGATCAATTAGCTACAGCTTTTTGTTAGTTAAGAGATGGGATCCATATGCATGGCAACTTTTGTTATTAAATATTTTATTTATTGAGACAGGGACTCACTATCTAGCCTGAGCTCACTGTGAAGTTGCTATGTATCCCATCCTGACCTTGAACATGCAATTTTTTCCCCCTTAGCCTCCCTAATGCTGGGAATGATGCACACATGCCAGCTTTAAACTTCACCTGAACCCTGTGAACACAGCTATGGTCAAGTATCTTCTCTCTGCGATAGGGGTGTAGCTCAGTGACAGAGCATTTGCCTAACATGGAGAAGCACTGGGTTCCATTCTCAGCAGAAGATAGTAAATAAGGAAAGAAGGAAGAAATCTCTCATTCTTTTGTGTTTACTGAAATAAACAGCCTGTCCTGCAATGCCGTAAGTAAGGCTCATGGATGGCCCCTTGTTCACCTGTAACTAGGTCCAACCCCCCCTAAGTTTTCATTCTCTGTAAGTATGTCTCTAGGGATAGAAGTCAGGTGGGCAGTAATAGATCCACCAACTCCTGTCTGTGAAAGCATCCTGCTATTGACAGGCCTAGGACTAAGACAGTTGTTCCTAAATATGGAAAAACCATGGATCAGTAGCATCACCTGAGGGAGTCTGGCTGCATGTCCTCTGCAATGCTGCTTAGAAGCTTCAGGAATGATCTAAAGAGTTCCACTTTGCTGATTCTGGATCTGTTCAGAAGAAGAAGGTAAAGATCACTGATTATTTACTATGTACCAGGCCATTATAAAAGATGCCAGGCCTCAATAAATATGGTATTTACATTTGAATGTGCCAGGGCCCATCTCCATCTGTGCTTGGCAAGGAGAAAATTCTAGACCTGATCAGATTGAGGTACAAAAATGAAACTCATCCTGAGAAGTGTTATCCACAGTAGAATCATTAAAAAGACAGGCTCACATGGGATAACTGAAGTAAAATGAGTAATGAAGTAAACTTCATTCTGTAATGTGACACATCTGCTTCCCTGTCAAGGGAACTAGTCCCTTGCATAGCAGCATGGCACTGTTTATAGGACATGGAAAGCTTTGCTTTAGAGATGGTGCTCTGCCCTGTGTGAGATACTTACACAGCTCACTGGAGAGTTGGGTGTCATGGAGCCTGTCTGTAATTCCAGCACTGAGGAGGCTAAGGCAGAGGATGGAGTTTGAGCCCACTCTGGGCTATAGCAGATCATGCCTCAATAATAGTAATAATAATGATGATGATAAAAAAATAAGCCACCTGAGGTGGAGTCTCCTGATTATCCCCTAGGGACATTCTAGGTCTTTAGATGACAAACTTTCCCTCCAAGATAATAAACCTCCAGGAGTTATTTGGAATTATTATTATTATTATTATTGTATTTTTTGGTCGATCATGGGGCTTGAACTCAGGGTCTGAGTGCTGTCTCTGAGTTATTTTGGTTAAGGCTAGTACTCTACTACTTTGAGCCACAGCTCCACTTCTGGTTTTCTGGAGGTTAATTGGAGATAAGTCTCATGGACTTTCCTATTCAGGCTGGCTTTGAAATGCAATCTTCAGATTTCAGCCACCTGAGTAGCTAGGATTACAGGCTTGAACTACCAGTGCCCAGCTGGAATTCTTAACAAATGCTGCTTCTTTCTTCTTTTCATAAGGAGGATTGACTTGGGTCCTTGGGCATGGTAGGCAAGTGCGCAACCTCAGCCCTTTTGTATTTTGTTTTGATTCAGTCCTGGTACCTTTGCTTGGGTTGGCTTGCAGCTAGAAATGGGGAGACGCATCAAATCATACCCTCAGCTAGGACATGGTAGCCATAACTGGGAGACATGAAACAGGTACACACATGTGTACAGTGCAGAAAGTTCCTGGCCCCAGCTGGGACTAGCTTCCTTCAGAAACTCCTGCTTTTGGGAACCTCGAGCCCTTGCCTGCTGCTCCCCCCTAACTATGTTGGTGCAGTTGCTGGCACTCAGGAATTCTGATTTGATTCAGGAGATCAAAATAGAAACAGATGGAAAACCCCTTAAGGAAATCCCCTTAAGGTGTTAAAGAAGAAAAATAACATGAGGAACAGAGATGAAAAGAAGCCTTGGTACAATTCAACAGCCAGTGAATGAAAACCTTGTAGTAAACTAACTTACCTTCTAATTTACATGTCACAAACTTTAGATCATCTCTGGAAAAGTCCTCATTTTACAGGTATGACCATACTGAAACCAAAAGAGCCACTGGACTTGCCTCACAAGGAAGAGCTTGGGTTACAACAAACAGCAAGCTCCACCGACCCAGGAGACAATGACATACGGGGACAAGCTGGAGAGCAGCCCCGCAGGAGTCTGGAGCAGGAGGATGGGGACTGAGCCAGCAGGCAGTGGGACTGGAACTGTGCTTTTCAGACATTATGAACACATAACAAGAACATTTGAGTCAACTGAGTGTGGCCACAGTGAGAAGCTTCTAGGCTGTTACCAACTGCAGCGACTGCTCGGCAGGAAACCTGTGGCCCTGCCCTGTGAACTCCTCTGTTCATATATCTGCTGTCTGGCTGAGAGTTGGTGTCCTACAAGTATTAAAGGTAGGCAGAAACCAGGAAGGCCCTTGGAGGAAACGGTGCAAAACTCTCTACTTGCAGTAATTTCCAATTCAGTAGCCCAGGCTTTCAGGAAAGTGTTTGTCGTCTGGGCTGCTTGAACCATGGCACTCAGTGGCTGAAAAGAAGGAAAGCTTTTGCCAAGTGTAGTGATGCACACCTGTAATCCTAGAACTAGGGAGGCAGGATAGTGAGACTGTCTCAAAAAACTAGAAAGGAGGCAGGCACGTCTCACACCTATAATCCTAGCTACCCAGAGGGCTGAGATCTGAGGATCACAGTTAAAAGCCAGCCTGGGCAGGAAACTCTATGAGACTCTTATTTCTAATACTACTCAGAAAAAGCAAAGTGATCCTGTGGCTCAAGTGGTAGAACATAGCCTTAGGCACAAAGAGGCTCAGGGACAGTGCCCAGGCCTTGAGTTCAAGCCCCAGGACTGGCAAGGAAAAAAAAAAAAAAAAGACCAAAGGCTGGGTGCTGGTGGCTCATACATGTAATCCTAGCTACCCAGGAGGCCAAGATTTGAGAATGGCAGTTCAAAGCCTGGACAAATTGGAGCTGTGGCTCAGGTGGTAGAGTACTGGCCTTGAGAGAAACAAAAACAAAAACAGAAAAAACCCTCAGGGTTCAGGCTCTAACTTCAAGCCCCAGGACGGCACAAACAAACCAAGATAGGACAGAATTACAGATACCTGCTATATATGCAAACATACTAAGGGAATGAAGCCAAACAGAAAAGGCCACAAACCATATGGTTTTATTTATATAAAATGAAATCACATAAAGTGATAACTCTATGGAGTGAGGAAATAAGTACCTTTGAGGTTTCTAAGGGCTAGAGAAAAGGAGCGGGCCAGGACTGTGCTAATGGGTGTGGTATTCTTTTAAGGGCCTTGAAAATGTTCTGGAATTTGAGAGCAAAGATATGAGCTCACATCACAGCCCCAGGCCCTTCTGCCCTGATAGTGGTACCTGGCCTGAAGGCTTCCAATTCCTTTCTTCGTTGTTCCTTGGGGAAAGCCGTTGGCCGTTACGTCCAGTGGATGCTCAGGAACGGCACTCCAGCTAATTGCTACAAAGAGAAAACAATTTGGTGTTGTTCAGTTTTCTATAAAGCAATTTGTTTTACTAAAAGCATTTTTCTTCCTCTACAGGCCCATGAAAACTTGGTATGATCACTTTGGTTTCCAGGTTACAATAGTATAAAGTTCATGATTATCTTTGACTTCATTGTGCATTTATTATATGGTAGACACAGTAAATGCATCCAATAGAATTCCTCATTTCATTCTCATAATCACTATGTAAAGTATTATTCTATAGTTGCATGCTTGTGGCTCACAACTGTAATGTTGGCTACTCAGGTTGCTGAGATCTGGAGGATCAGGGATAAAAAGCCAACCTGGGCAGAAAAGTCTGAGAAACTCTGCAAAAAGCTAGGCTGGAGACATAGTTCGAGTGGCAGAGTGTCAGCAGAGCAACCAAGCTGAGCAAACTTGAGGTCCTGAGTTCAAACTTCAGTACTAGCAAAAAAGACAAAAAAAAAAAAGGAGGAAAGAAATATTCTTTTTTGTTGTTGTTGGTGGTGGTGAGGCTTGAACTCAGGGCCTGGGCGCTGTCTCTGAGTTTTTTGCTCAAGGCTAACACTCTATCACTTTGTGCCACAGCGCCACTAAGTTGTTTTCTGGTGGTTAATTGGAGATGAGTCTAGAGGCTTTCCTGCCTGTGTTGACTTTGAACTGTGATCCTCAAATATTGGCCTCCTGAGTAGTTAGGATTACAGGTGTGGCCATCAGGCTAGGAAATAAGTTGCCCAGTCACACATAGCAGAAACTTAACCCAGGGCAGGTGATGACCAAAGTATGTACTATTGACTGCTGGGATGGCAAATTGCCTTCTGAGGCTGTGGGATGCAGACTTGTCTAGGATATTCTGCCAGGAAAAAGCTGCTCCAGGGTAAGTTCCACCTGGATCCCTTACCTGCCCCACAAGGCACAAGCCGGCCTGGACCATCCAGCCTATTTGCCTGCACTGCACAGCGGCTCTGTTCAAACAGTAAATCTGACTGCTGTGTTTTCAGTTCTTGAACTCTAAAGCCTTTGGGTAAAGCCGAGACATTCTGACACCTAAATGTGAGGGAAAATATATTTATTTTAGATGCATTCCTAGAGAAAAAGTCGCAAAGATTGTGGACTTCGCCATCTCTTGCTTCTTATTTGCTGAGGTGTGTGGGAAGAACTCTATGCCTGGATGCAGATCCCTCCCCATCAGTCTGAAGTATAACAGGTAAATGAACCAGTATACATCAGCAATGTCAGAAATATCACACTTCAATCTTCATTTGAGGAACTTAATAGGAATCCTCCAAACACACCACAACCTAAATTATCCCTTAATATTCAAATGCCTTTTCCCCCTCTCTTACTTTTTTTTTTTGGGGTCCCGTCGTGGGGCCTGAACTCTGGGCCTGGGTGCTGTCCCTCAGCTCTTCAGCTTAAGGCTAGCACTCTACCACTTGAGCCACAGCGCCACTTCTGGCTTTTTTTTTCCTGCTTATGTGGCGCTGAGGAATTGAACCCAGGGCCTCATGCATGCAAAGCAAGCTTTCTACCACTGAGCCACCTTCCCAGCCCCCCCCTTACATCTTTTGCATAAAGTACACCCAACAAACTGGACACGATGGACAGACAGTAAATTCAAAGCCCAAACTTCAGCCCCATGGTCACTATCCAACCCCTTCCCCAGGCCTTGGTAGCCAAGAATCTGGCGGTGTACTCTGCTGGTCACCAACTCATAGGTTTCTATGGATTTGCCTCTTCTGGGTTTTCACATAAATGAAATCATGCAATATGCCCTTACTTCACTTAGCAAGATGTTTCAAGGGCCAACCATGCACTGTGGTCCTTTTCACAGCAAATCCTAGCATCCATTGTACGAGACGCCAGTTAGTTTATCCATGTATGTCCTAGTGGGCATTTGGCTGCTCTCACTTTTTGGCTATTTGTGTGTATGTCACTGGGCACATCTGTAAATTGTGAATGTCCTGCCTGGGCTGGCTTTAAATTACAACCCTCTTATTTATTTAGTGCAGGTCTTGGGGCTTGAAGTCAGGACCTGGATGCTGTCCCTGAGCCTCTTTGTGTTCAAGGCTAGAACTCTTACCACTTTGAGCTACAGTGCCACTCTGGCACTAGTTTATTGGAGATAAGAGTCTCCTGGACTTTCCTGCCTGAGCTGGCTTTGAACCACTGGCAACTGGTGCCAGTCCCTTGAATTTTTTTTTTTTGGGTCTGGTCATGGGACCTGAACTCTGGGCCTGGGCGCTGTCCCTCAGTTCTTCAGCTCAAGGCTAGTGCTCTACCACTTGAGCCACAGCGCCACTTCTGGCTTTTTTCTTTTTGCTTATGTGGTGCTGAGGAATCGAACCGAGGGCCTCGAGCATGCAAGGCAAGCGCTCTACCACTAAGCCACCTTCCCAGCCCCTCCCTTGAATTTTTTGCTCAAGGCTAGCACTCTATTACTTGAGCCACAGTTGCACTTCCAAAGCTTTTTCTGTTAATTAGATACTTTTAAATATTCCTGCCCAGATGGCTTCAAATGATAATCCTTCGATTTCAGCCTCCTGAGTAGCTAGAATCATAGGTGTACGCCACCAGTGCCCAACGCAACTTTTTATTTGCTGCAATGGGGGGGTCTCCTGAACTTCTTCCCAGGTAAGGATGGCCTGAAACTACAATCCTCCTGATCTCTACTTGCTGAGTAGCTGGGATATAGGTGCGAACCACTATAACCAGTTTCTTCTTTAAGATGGGTCTCAGTGCATCCCATGTCTAGCTTTCTTTTTCTTGTTTTTATTCTTTTCATCACTAAAAGGGAATAGGGGACCAGGATGTAGCTCGGTGGCAAAGCACTTGCCTAGCAAGTGCAACGTCTTTATATACCTGGCATATTTTGGTTCTTTCCAGTAAAGCAACAAAAGATCTGTCTTTGAAGTAACCTCTGTGGGCAAGAAAATTTAGGTAATTTGGGTTGACTAAACATTGCACAAATTCCAACACCAATTGAAACCGAAGTCGATTTCCAGCATCATTTGTCTCTACAGTGACAGCAGCAGCCAAAGGAGCAAAGACGCTGAAGGGCACCAGCCCCTCCCCGCCTCCCTAGCCACTACAGGAAGTGGCAGGGGAGGCTCCGGGAGCAATGGCTCCCCCTTCTGGTGGTGGCGCAGTTTAGCTTGCTTAATTCTTGAGGATAAATTCTTGGAAATTTAACTGCTGGATGAAAAGGTATAGAGCAATTGTAAGGCTGTCTGGACTCACTCAAACTGCCCTCCATCCGCCTCTCACCTCCCAGTCAGGGCTCTCTGCATGGCTTCCAGGCTGTATGGGCACTTCCCAATCACCAAAGCTGACAGGTAGATGGGCTCTTCCAGAAAGTGCATCAACAGTGCGCCCTGACATCCAAGGACATTCCACCGGGCCATCTTGTCACTGCAAGACATGGAGCACGTCCTGTCCCCTCGGCCTGGCTTCACTCGCAGCAGCCCCACCTGGTGGTATGCGGCACCTGGCTTCCCTGGGTCCCTGGCTTCTCCGGGGACACACTTGGCCCCAGTTCTATGAACATCCACCACTGTGATGTCACGGGGCATTTTAGTTTTCACAGTGGCCAGTCCCTGCACAGTGAGGTTCCAGTTGCTGACCTCCGGCGTGACTGGATGCCGTTCCTGCTTGTCACAGTGAGCGGTCCCATTCATGACCAAGTTGGAAGGAGTTTCAAGTCTCATCTTCTTGGCTACAGGACTGCCAGTGTCATCACAATCTCCTTTGTCTTCAAGAGCCTCCAAGTCACCACTGGCTCCTGCAGATGAGCTGATGGTGACAGGGCAGCAAGGCTGTTCTTCAAACTCAAGCATTGGAATGATGGAGGCGTCTCCACCTGCATGAAGAGGAGAGATGAGTCCCCTGGACCAGCCACACCATCACCAGTCTGGAACCTGTTAGAAGAGCCAATGACTGAGACTCACAGTATACGTGCTTGGTCAGAAGCTTTGCAGGCAGGCCGGCATTCTTGTTAAGATATCCAAGGTGACTCAGAGACAGGCATGTGTGTGTACTGCTAGTTGAAGCAGTTGGATTAGACTATTAGGCCTGGATGCATCTGTCTTCACCGGGGTCACCCAAGCCCTGGCTGCTTTAGGTGTAGCCTCCAGCCTCACCCAGGCCCAGAGTTCAAGCCCCACGACTGACCCCCCGCCCCCAAAAAAAGGAAACAGCTCAAAGGAGCCCTACTCTGACTAAACCAACTCACTTCCCATACTCATTTTTTTTTTTCTCCAGCCCTTGGGTTTGAAATCAGGGCCTGCGCACTGTCCCTGAGTTTCTTTTACTCAAGGCTAGCACTCTACCACTTGAGCCACAGAGCCACTTCCAGCCCTTTTTGGTTTATATGATACTGAGGAATCAAACCCAGGGCTTCATTCATGCTAGAGAAGCATTCTACCACTAAGCCATATTCCAAGCTCCATACTCATTCTTTCTTAAGATGGAAGAATAGTTTCTACTTGTTACTATCAAATCTTGTTGACTCTTTTTAAAAATAGTGACAGTCACTACAAAATAATGACTGTCTTCTCTAATTGCATTCAAGTTTAATAGTTGGAGAACAAGCTTATATTCTCATGTCAAAGCTTTCAGATTTAAGAACATTTACTGCCATTTCTGAGCTGTTGTCTATAAAAGGAATTGCTTTTAGTTTTTTTTTTTTAGAAAGAATATCCATTAGTAGTTGGGTACTGGTGGCTCATGCCTATAATCCAAGCTACTCAGGAGGCTGAGATCTGAGGACAGCAATTCCAAGCTAGTATGGAAAATCTGTACGACTCATCTCCAATGAAACGACCCATAAAAAGCCAGGAGTGGCGCTGTAGCTAACGTGGTAGAGCGCCAACATTGGGCAAAATGTCAAGGTGTTAAAGCCCCAGGACTGACACAAAAATAAAAGAAAAAAGAAAGAATATCTACCAATAATAATGCATCAAAAAATTCCCTAAGTAGCCACAACAGTCTAGATGGCCTGAGAGACTATTAGCATAAATAATGGGTGGGGTTCATTCACTATCATCTGCTAGACTAATGAAAAACCTCTCTTCTGGCTTTGCATGGTGGCACACACCTGTTATTTCAGGAACATTGTGAGCTTGAGGCCAGACAGGAGTATACAGCAAGATCATAGCTCAAACAACCAGAACCTGAAGGAAAGGCAGATACAAAGAGATGCAGGGGAAGGGGGAAATGAGAGTGGGAGGTGTACTGTTCAATGAATGAATGAATGGAGAGTTGTAGGACGCTGGGAAGTTACTACAGGAGGACACCATGTTGTTAGCTTTGTACACCCTGTAGGATTTAAGCCCTAAGCTTCCCAATCTTGATCTGATAACAGCAATTCTATGAGTGAGATGCCTCTCTTGCCTACCTCTACCTTCTGCCTTCCCCCTGGTAGGGAACTTTAGGCACATAACTGGCACTATTACTGGCCACACATCTGTCAAAACTGATTATGTGAGAAACATCTTTATGGGTAAGGCACGCGTAAGGAAGTAGACATTGCAATTCTACTTAAAAGGCTTGAATATACTTACAGGGTGTGTGGCTGGAGAAAAATACAAAAGAGAGATCTGGTCTGAGTTTCCACAGCCCTTTGTAAGTTCCTGGGATAAAGATGCTGTCCTTTTCCAGAGTGGCTGCCAACTGGAGCTGATGGAGAAGGTACCTAAGGATGTAGATGTTATCAGAAGGAACAACAGGGCTGGGGATCTGGTTCCCAGTACTGCAAACATTCACTGCAAAGAGGAAAAAAGGCCAGGTGCTGGTAACTTATACCTGTTACACTAACTACTCAGAAGTCTGAGATCTGGGAGAAAATAGCTTGGAGTCAGCCTTAGAAAAATCCTGGAACCGTCATCTCTAATTAAACAGCACATGGCTAGACTAGTGCTGAGGGCCTTGTGCATGTGAGGCAAGAGATCTACCCCTGAGCTACACTCCAAGCTCCAGCAATCTGGGCTTTAATAAATTCTCTAGATGATTCTGAGATACATTCAAAGTTTGAGATCCACTAGTCTAGAATACAATACTTCACCAACCAAAATAATCTACATTATTTGAGGTCTAATTTGGAAAGCAAATTCTGGTCAGAAGTGTAGCTTAAGTGATAGACTGCTTGCAGGGACTCTCATTCTTGGATCTGGTGAATCAGACTTGCTGAGGGAGGACGTGGCCTTACTGTGGCCTTACCGTAGGAAACCCCTCCTGGCTATGACTTCAGCGTGGCTATCATTGAGGATGTCTCCTGTGGAAAAGACAGGACACTAAGTGAAATGATATGGAACCTACAACTGTAGCGACATTTCTCAACTCAGCATTGCATATGTAAGGGGCCAGGACATTCTGTTGCAGGGGCCTAGCTTATGCAGTTTAGGATGTCAGCAGTACACTTAGCACTGGCCCACAAGACTACAAACCTTCTGTATCATGGTATCAAACTTGTGATCATGCTGATAGTACTCTATCTAATTTAATCCACAGTGGGCCTGGGACAGCTTTCTCATGTGCAGGAGGCAAGGCTAGGAGAACGGGGTGGGCAGGGTGGACACAAACTCAAAGAGGAACTGCTAGCTGGACACAGTAGGTAAAGCTCCCTTATTTTACTTTTTTTTTTTAGGGGGGTCCATTGTGGCGCTGTCCCTCGGCTCTTCAGCTCAAGGCTAGCACTCTACCACTTGAACCACAGCGCCACTTCTGGTTTTCTGGTGGTTTACTGGAGATAAGAGTTTCACGATTTTCTTGACCAGGCTGGCTTTGAACCGCGATCCTCCAGATCTCAGCCTCCTGAGTAGCTAGGATTACAGGCGTGAGTCACTGGCGCCCGGCTCCCTTATTCTTGTTGGTGCCAAAATCTCCATTAAATCCAAGATTGCTTTCTGGGGCTTGGAAACCACTCAAGCTGCATTCTCTACTTGTTTTACAGCTCCAGAGTCTTCCAGAGTAATGCACAATAGCTAGGGAACCTATGATTTGAGCATGAAAACACTGGCCGACTTTCGGTTCATTCAGAATGAATGTTCCTGATAGCCTTTGCTCTGAAATTGATTTTCATCCTCCCTACTGCCCCTCCAGCCTGCCCTTGTTTTTTGGTTTTGTTTTTTTGACGGGCTCTCAGTATGTAGCCCAAGCTGGCCTCATCCTCCAGAGTGCTGGGATTATAGGCAGCAGTCACTAAGCTCAGGTCTGGATTTGTACCCTTTAAATGAGTACTATCTTTAAACTAGGACAAACAGAAAGCAGGAAATGAGAGGCCAGCCATCCCAGATCACAAATCTTATGCATTATAGTACCATATTTGGCCCCTTTTCCTGGACAAGAAGAGTAAAGATTAACGTGAACACAGGTTTCCAAAGATATGCAATCCCAGATACATAATTCTTTGTTTAGATTACCACCACTCCTCACAAACACACATATGCTTACCGCTCTTCCTCATTTTGGACTGGCCTATGCATTTGGTTCCTGTTCCCATTGAGACAACTTCCTTTGTCACTGAGGAAAAAAAATAAATCATCAAGTGAGCTCTCGGAGTCTAAATGTTCTCCAGTACTCAAGTTTAGTAGTTGATTCCCACAGGTCGTCTTAACCAGGGTTGTTCAGCAAGGGCGGTCTGCTGCCACTATGACTATATTGCCACCTGGTGGACACCAGAGGAAATGTGCCTAACACTGCAGTAACAATCTGCTCACAAGAGTTCCTGGATAGCAAGGATAGACTAACTCTATCACTATGACAGGAGAGAAGTTAAGGTCTCACCTTGTATTGCCTTATCAGAAATGCCACAAGCCTGGTCAGCTGTAAACTGTATCTTCACCACGGCTGCCAACAATGTCCATTCACGATTGGGCTCAGGCTTGCCCTGCTTAGGCAGCCTAACATGGTAGTGCTCATAGCACAGCTGAGCAATCTCATCCGCTGTCCACATGGCTGGGGCTGAGGCTAAAGCCCTACCAAAAGTCACAGGCATCAGACATACAGAAAGGAGAATCAGCGCAAGATGTCACAGCCCGCATCAATGCTTCCAACAGTCTTTGCAATGAACGGTCCCTCTTCTATAAGGAACTCGTTTACTTTTTCCTACCAACTCCCAGCCCCCTTTCATCTTTAGTGAAAGGTTAAAGGAGCCCCAAATCCTACTAATCCAGGAGGCACCTTATTTTTTTCAAGCTTTAAAATGTTTCCTTAGACATCTGTGCGTTTTTAGTGCTTCTGAATTTACTACTTAAGTATCCTGCTTCAGTTTGCAGACCTCAGCTTGCTTTGTGCAGATCCTCACAAGGCTGATCTTTCTGGCAAGATGTTCCTTTCCATTCTCTTCAGAAATAGTATTCTCCTCTTTCCTCTACAGCAGAAGGAAGGAAAGGCAGAAATTAACTGGTCTCTCACCAGTTAAGTTTTTATAAGACTTCTGCCTAAGGACATGGGCATGAAGTTGCCTTTTCTAGCTCCTAAATCTGACCATGCCACAAATTAACTGTGTGATATTAGGTAGATTACCTAACCTCTCTATTTTTTACTTTCCTTAAATTTGGCCTGAACTGAGCCTGGGCACTGTCCCTTAGCTCTTCAGCTCAAGGTTAGTGCTCTACTACTTGAGCCATTTCCAGCATTTTCTGCTTATGTGGTGTGAGGAATAGAACCCAGGATATCATGCATGCAAGGCAAGCACTCTATCACTGAGTCACCGTCCCAGCCCTCACTTTATCTTATAAACAATATCTCTGAAAGCAATTGTCAAGATCCTGAGCAATTAATATGTTAAATGGGGATTCATATTACAAAAAAAAAAAAAAAAAAACCACCAAAAACCACTTGATTGTCCTGGATAATCTGCTCTCTCCCTCTTGCTCTACAGAGTATGTCCTGACCTTATTCAGACTCTGTATGAAAAGCTTCTTAGAAGATGGGATCATGTAATAGGTATACACAGCGAAGCAGTTATAAAACAAAAACAAACAGGCTTACGTGAAATGCTTCTGCAAGATGTCTACAGTGAGACTCTTGCAAAGTTCAGGACCGTTACTGAAGTAGAAGAAAGGTCATGGATGAATCGGACCGTAGTGACTTAAGACGAAGAACTGGCCACAAATGATAGAAACTGTGCCTTTCAAGTCAGAGAGCCAGCAGAACTTTTCTGTCTCTAGGAGCAAAGAAACGCAGGGGAGAGCCGGGTCCCGGGTTGGGAAGGGATTCGGGCGTCATTTCCAGGAGGGCACCACACACAGCAGCTGGTGAAGGCGGGCCCTCTGCCGTCGGCCTGAACGGCACAGGGCAGAGGTGCACACCGCCAACGGCCCGGCGCGGGGGCCGGCCCGGCAGCCGGCAGGTGGCTGCTCTGGGGCACGCAGCGCTCGGACGCGAGGGAGGGTCCCAACGGTCTGCGTCCACGGTAACCAGGCCTGGATCCTGCCGAACAGCTCGGCCCAGCAGTCATCTCGGGGCCCGGAGCGGGCGCTTCCCGCTGACAAGCTGGCTGCCGGGACCCCGCCCTTCCCCACGTGCGGCCCGGGCCGCACGGTTCCAGGCCCTCAGCTCTCCCCAGGCAAAACCAGGAGAAAGGAAGCCGAGAGCCCGCCCCCCCCAACCCGGGGCCCACGGAGCCCCTCAACCGCACACCTCGGGCCCCGACGCCCCAACTCCGTGCCGATGCACTCCGTCGGCCGGCCGCGCGCCCTCAGACAGGTGAAGGCTGACGCGAGGCGGACGTGACGTCACAAACGACAATGTTTCGCAGGTTCCACCCCGGAAGTGCGCAGAGCACGCTGGTCTTTGTAGTTCTCCGAGGGAAGGGCCCAAGGCCGAGGTACCCAGGTCGGTAGTCCTTTTGGGGGGTGGGGGAGGATGGAGGGCTGGGGGCGGGGGAGGGGGGAGGGCAAACACCCTGCCAGACAATTCAGTTGCAAATAGGAAAATAACGTATCTTGGAATGCCAATCTAGAGTTTTGTCTCAACGCTGTCCAACAGGTTGAGAAGCCTGGATGGCTCACGAACTCTTAGCAGCCACGGTAAACCTCATTGGGTTACTAAAAGGAGGCAGAATTTCAACTTGCCTCTAGTTCAAAAGAAAAGGGCCAAAACTCTTCCAGACCAAAAATGCTTTCTTCATTCGTCTCCATTTTCTGTTTTTGGGGGGGTCAGGTCGTGGGGCCTGAACTCTGGGCCTGGGCCCGCCCTGTCCCTCAGCTCTTCAGCTCAAGGCTAGCGTGCTACCTACCACTTGAGCCATAGCACCACTTCTGGCTTTTTGTTTTTTCCTGCTTATGTGGTGCTGAGGAATCGAACCCAGGGCCTCATGCATGCAAGGCAAGCTCTCTACCACTGAGCCACTTTCCCAGCCCCATCCGTCTCCATTTTCAAAGTGCAACTGTCATTCCCTTCTTTCTGATGTGGGGAATCATGCTTCATTTTTCCCCTCAGGAATTAATTTGCATAACCCAAAAGTGTCACCTCTGTCATGGTGTTTTCCTTCCCTTTCCCTAACCCAAACAGAACTCACTACTTAGCCATTAATCCTATTCCTTGAACCTGCCCATCTTTCAAGTCACTATCTTGAAGTAGGTGACTGCTACACTGATTTCTGAGCTGTCATTTAATGCCAATTCATTTCCCACAGAGCAACTACACTGATCTTTTCAAACCAGGAAAGTGACGACATTCCCATTTAATTACATTCATGGTGTCCTGGCTCCCTATTTCTACTCCATACTGGGAATAGGGCCTATAGTATGCCAGTGCTCTACCACTTGAGCTATACCTGCAACATATATATTTGTCATACTGTTCCTTGCAGTTGCTAGGCAAGAATTCATAACACTTGGTTCATGATTCCCAGGCTTGTATTTCAAGACAAGGTCTTGCTGAGTTTGCCTCAGACTTGTATTCCTTTGACTGTTTACAGGCATGCTTCTAACATAAATCACACAGTAAGGCTCATAACTCTGTTATGACCAGCCTCTTCTTCCAGCTGGATCTAGTTCTTTGGACTTTTGTACTATATCTAGTGCCACTGTCCTTCAAGCTCCTTCCAACCCACCCTTGCATTTGTTTCCATACTATGGAAAGTTTCCCCTCCCCCCTTTTGCCAGCACTCTTATTACTTGAGCCACAGCACCACTTCCAGAACACTGGTGGTTAATTGGAGATAAGAGTCTCAGGGATTTTCCTGCCTGGGCTGGCTTTGAACCATGATCCTTAGATCTCAGCCTCTTGAGTAGCTAGGATTACAAGCATGAGCTACCACCAGTGCTTAGCTAGGGATGATTTATTAAATCTCTTTTCCACTATATGACTAGAAGCTAAGGACCATGTCTTGTTCTGATCACTGTAGTACAGAAATCAGTAAATCTGGTACCATCAGTGGTTTGATGAGTTTACAAGTCCTTTATGACCCATCCACTCCTAGCTTTTTCCTTCCTGCAGATCCACATGCAAGTTGTCCAGTGTTGCGTTGCTCCTTTATCCCTAGCCTCCTCTAAGACCAGATGGCTAGCTTTTGCTTCCAGCCTTCTATTAAATACATCTTAGCAGCCCTCATAACTTTCTCTGTGTAGCTTTTTCCAATGGTCTGCATAGACAGTGTGGCTTCAAGTCCTGTCCCTTGTCTGATCTCGACCTTGTTTTCTCCCATAGAAAGAAGAGTCTCTTCATTTACATTCTCCTTCTCAAAGACAACCTGCTTTCAAAGCAGGGGTGGGGAGGCTACACAGCCCCTCAAGTGGTTCCCAGTTAGGTAATCTCTGCATGAGCGGATCATTTTGCCAGTAATAGTAGTAACTTACTCTGCAAAAGTAGACTGGCTAGGGCTGGGAAGGTGGCTCAGTGGTAGAGTGCTTACTTTGCATGCATGAGGCCCTGGGTTTGATTCTCCAGTACCACATGAGCAGAAAAAGCTGGAAATGGTGCTATGGCTCAAGTGGTAGAGCATTAACCTTGAGCTGAAGAGCTGAGGGACAGTGCCCAGGCCCTGAGTTCAGGCCCAATGACTGAAAAAAATAAAAGTAGACTGGTTATTCCCAAATTGGGACTCCTACAAAGGCTTTGCTGGGGTGCAAATGACAAATTCTTTGTCATATGACAAACAGTGATAATTTTTGTTCTCTACTGTGTCCCTAATTCCTCAGAACAATGCATGGCACAGAGGAGAAATAAACAATTTTAGAGCACTTAGCAACTGTCTAATGTTTGATGTCTTGGTTCAATCCCAGTGATACCAAATACCAATAAAAAAAAACAAGGTCCTTTCCCTACCACATTAACACAAACTACCATAACATAGTAGAACCCTAAGTATTCATTAGGCCAGCAGTCTGGGGAAAAAAACTGACATGCCCAAGGTAAAGAGATAAGTAGTTTATTTGTTAACAAGGAATAAAAAGAAATTTGTAATTCCTTTTCTCTCTTCTGGTGGCTGAAACAGAATTGTGGTTGGATGGATGGTGACATACAAGAATTCCCTCACAGATTTTATCTTTTGTAGATACGCAAAATTGCCTGAGTTATAAGACTTGTCATTCTTTTTTAGACAGAAGTGCCAACTGTTGAGCTTTCCAGTGTATCACTGGCTGCTACAGTCTCCTTCTTGTCTTCGGGTTTCATGGCAGGAAACAGAAGTACTTCCTACAAAAGATCATAAATGTGTTTTGATGCTATAAAGGCACTTGAACATATTTTTTTGAAGAGTGATCTATGTATTTGCTTTGCCTGTTATTGCTACTAACCAAGTCCAGAGATCTGTATGCTGTTTTGTGTACAGCACTGTCTAGGACATCATGTCAAGACAGTGAATAAACACAGGTTCTATTAAAATTTATTTTAATAGGGCACTGGGGTGAGCTATACCTACAATTCTGGCTACTCAGAAGGCTGAGATCTGAGTGAGGATAGTGGTTCAAAGCCAGCTTGGGCAGGAAAAGTCTGTGAGACTCTTATCCCCAATTAACCACCAAAAAGTTGGAAGTGAGCTGTGGCTCAGTGGCAGAGCACTAGCCTTGAGCTCAAAAACTCAGAGAAAGCACCCAGGCTTTGAGTTCAAGCTCCAAGGCTGGGGAATGCATGCACATGCACAGTGCACACACGGAATTGATTTCTTGCTTTACCAAAATAGGACAGGGACAGTTTCCACATTGATCAGCTGATTTAAACAAGCCAATTTGGGAAGCATGGGCCCCTGAGTTCAATCCCCAGTATTACCTAAACCCAAAAAACCAAGCTCAGGCAGCAGGCAGCCTGTCCCTGGAAACGCATGAAATGCAAACACTGGTATTCCTCCTGTCTCAGTAGAAAGAACTAAAATCCCACAAGGTCAGTTAATCCAAGTCTCCAACTGGGGCATGGTGTGGACCCCTTTGCCTGCCCATCCTCCTGCCCAGTGCTCCTTGTTTACCCTTGGGGCCCACCTGGCTCTACCTCCAACCCTGGGGCTTTGGGGAAGTGTGCACTATGGAGAACCGCTGTGTACCTTGATGTTATTGGAGTCTGTGAGGAACATGGTGAGACGGTCGATGCCCATGCCCCAGCCAGCAGTTGGGGGCAGCCCATACTCCAGGGCAGTACAGAAGTTCTCATCTATGAACATGGCTTCATCGTCACCAGCGGCTTTCGCCTAGAATAAAGAGAAGCAAGAGGTAACATTTTGTCAAGACAGCTCAGTGTCTAAGGCAATAGAATGTTTTCATGCAGGTGGTGGGAATTCTTTTCCCAGTAATTCTGGGACGGGGGGCTACTTCCCTCACAGACTCACAGATCAGGACTGATGAGACCTACATGAGAATGCACACAAATTCCTCTGAAATACACTACCTCCGCTGCTGGGGCTTCTGGGATGGCAGGAAAACCAAATTTTCATAGACGGTATGGTGACTACGTAGTCTTTCTCCTGGTTCCTAAAACCACCCACCAGTGACATGAATACAGGCAGCCTGCAGGGCCCTGTCTGCTTCATACCTTGATCTGCTGCATCCCCAAGAAATCTGAGAAAAGTGCAATCTCAGAAAAGTCATTTTCCCTGTTTTTAAGACACACACTGTGCTCCTTGTGTACAGACAACCTTATGTTCCTCTTAGGTCTCATGCAGCCAAAACCAAAATCTTCCTTTGGAAATGTGACTTCCTCTGGCAAAACCATGAGTGCCCCCGAGCCTGTACTGGTATCTTCTGATGAGGACACGTTCGCTCTTTCCTCACCTTAGCCTGTTCTTCAAACAGCTGCCGCTGCCGCATGGGATCGTTCAGCTCCGTGTAGGCATTGCACACTTCCTTCTTCATGACAAACAGCTCAAAGCGCTCAGTCAGACCCTCTTTGGAGCGGTGCCTGGGAACCAGGCCAACAACAAGGATGAATTTACAGCTCCTGGTACAAGAATCCCTGAATGACTGTAGACTCAAAAAAGTAGAGCTAACTGCAATCTAACTGCATGTATTCTTAGCACCAAATCATCTGGTATTACAGTGAGGGTGTGAGAGACCTGGAGGATTTGAGTATCTTCCTAACGAGCCCTGTGGTAGACTGTTACCCCAACCCACGCCAGAATGTCTGACCTTCTGCATACATTTCTCCTGAATGGACTCTGGGCTAGCCATGA